ACATGCACATGGTGGTCCAACACTCAAAACAGGTGCATTCGCCAAAGAAGGAACCAAAGACGAACTAGGTACCACACTTGTATGATCTTGACCTTCTGCACTTGGACTCATTGGAAAAGTCTGAGGTCCAGGGCTCACTCCAGGCGGACTTGAGGCTTCAGCCGGTGGTCCAAGCGTCACAGCTGGACTTGCTGGAGTTGTATTCTCCATGGCTCACAAAAAGGCTCAGAGAAAACCCTACAAACAGTTCTCCTTTCTCTCAAAGCGTCTGCCCCTCACCCTTAGGATCCTCGGGGCTCCGCTACCATGTGAAAACACGGAAGCGAGTGCGAAGCCAAACATAACAGTCGGTTTGACTGTATGTCTGTTAAAATCCCAGCTCAGAAAGATGTCTCAAATTACGGCGCATACAAGAGTCTCCTTCTTTCTTCCCTAGTCGTTTTTTGTTTGGTTTTGTTTTGTGTTGGTGCTGTGGTTATTGCTTGGCACTTCATACAGGAGACTCTTTACAAAACAGCGCAAGCTGACCTATGCATTTCCTGCATGAATGGCGGCTCCGCCCGTGCAAAAATTTGGCAACATGAGAAAGAAAGGAAATAAAGTTCAGATTGGCATGCGAATCAGACCACGGGTTGACGTGCAGAGTGGCTAAAGGGTTTGAAGAGCGTTGTTGAATCTTGAGGAACAGCCACGACCAGGATTGAAAGATCAGTGCAAGAGGGCTGTAATTCTAGATCAGGGATTTGCTGTGGCATGGCAAGTTCATCTTTGTGTCTCGCAGTTGCAGTCTAGTTCATTGCAAGTTTAGCTTCTAGAGAGTTTCTTGTGATTTCATTTGCAGTTGCATGTCACTTTGTGTCTTGTCAGGTCGTGTGGATAGATGTTTGCGCAGCGTAGTAACCCTAGATAACCTTTTTGTATCCTGAGCTGACAGGTATGTTTGTCCTTGAAAGCTTTGCTTTCGAGGATCCCGATGTCAGATGGGATCTGACCCTGAGATCTCATGGCTGGTCTCCGAGGGATCCTTTTTGTTTGTTGCTTTCTTGCTTGTTTGCATGCTTGGTGACGGTCGAGCTTGATTCTTTGTTGGATATGGACGTTTACTTGAGCTGGATTCGAGTGTACCTCTAGATTGATGACGTCGAGATCACCTTTGAGGACTATTGTCTGGACCTGTTTCTTAGGTAGATTTTCGTTTTTGATGACTTGAGGTTGGAGCTGGTCCTCTGTTGGTGGTTTGCTTGGACCTCCTTGGCAGGATAACCTTTTAGAAGGTTTGATGTGGCTAGACGTGGCTAGGAGAAGCCTAGAGAACCTTTTGGTAGTGCACTGTGTACATGGAGAGTGTTTGAGGTAGTTCTCTTTAGTTTGGTGTAGGTTTGAGATGACTAAGGAATAGTCTTGACTTTGAAAAGAAGAGCTGACAAGCTTTGGAGAAACTTTGAGAACGTTTGAGACAGTTTCAACCGACTGTGACTTTGGCTCAAGGAACGGGATCGAAAGGGAAGTTTGCGCGACCGTGTTTTCACAAGAACAGAAGTGACGAGATTCTTCGTTTCGCAGAGTACGTGTGTTGGGCAGCGGCGCATTGTCTTTCGAGATCGGCCAAGCGATCAGCTGGGAGATGACCAACCTGAGCCAGCATTCGTCTCATGTCCATCTATTGTTTGAGAATTGCCTCAAGTTCAAACCTCACATTCCATGTTCACGAAAGGTAGCGGTTACGCTACCTACCTGAGTTTTCCTTTTGCTTTAGCAAAAATGTATTATACCCAGAGCTGGAGCCTATCTCACTGAGAAATGGTCCCCGACATCTTCGTTTGCTGGCCGGGGGGGGGAGGCCCCCCCCCTTTCAACTCCACCCTGGCGCGCCTCGGGGTCAACGGTCAGCTCTTCCAGTCCTCAACAGTGACCAAAAATCATGGAATTTACAGCGTTTTTTTGTGGCTGTCCGGCAAAAAACACCGCAAAAACCGATGGTTTTTGATGCGTCTCGGTTAGAAAAATGACCGAAAAAGAACCAAAAACCAGGAAACATTTTGTCGGAAAGGGTTATTGAGGCTTTTGGAGGCTTCAAAATTGCACGAAACTATGGTATTTACAGGGTTTTGTGCACCTTCCCGGCAGAAAACGCCGGTATTTACACGGTTTTCTGCGCTTTTCCAGCGCACAACCGTGGTGCGCCTGATTCCCTGCTACTTTTCGTTCACCCCCCTCCTCTCTCAAGTAACCATCCTCACAGCCTCTTTTTTCCGCAGAGACGATCTTCTCGAAATTCTTTCATCCTTAGCCACTTCCAGTTGGACGATCTGCCACTGGATGTTCTCTTGTCTCCTTCTCATGCTGTGTTTCAGTCCTCATCTCCTTCTCCTCAACGACCTCTATGAACTCGTTCTCCACAGATCCATTGCCCGGTTGCTTCAAGTCACCACCAAGCCAGACTCAAGGCCCCGATCTTTGTTGTGTCGGTGTTACTTTTCTTTCAGATTCTCACGACTCCGGCTCGTTCTGTGATTGAACCTCAGAAAGGGTCTGGAAATTCAGCGTTGGAGCATTGTGAAGAGTGGAGCGAGATTCAGCCCTTTTATGTGTTTCGGGCAATTGCTGTAGGCAATGAATTTAGAGCGAATTTGCCACCACGAATTGCGTTTTGCTTGTTCTGTTTGAAACATTGCAACGGCGCATCGTGACATGACCCAGTTCTCGCAAGTTGTTTTTTGGTGTTGATTCACTCCGGGAATCATTCTCGGCCATGCATGCAGCCCCATCTCAGCTTGGACCTGCTTTGCCTTTAACAGTCTTGACTCTGTGTATTCCTCCCTGCAGCTATTTTCTTGCTTGAACTGGAAGGCCTCCGTCTCGGTGGCTCACTGCTTTTGCTTGCCCTATTTATATGATTGTCCTTTGTTTCTCACCACCATTGGCTCACTTTGGACGGCCTTGGCGCTCAATGAGTTGTATTGACGATGGTGGCTCCCTCAGGCATGTCCCAAGTGATGACCGCCATTTTGGCGTAAGGCCCACTTTTTGGGTGGAAAATGATTTCATCCTTGCCTTTCATTATTGCATTTTAAAATTTACTGCGTCAGTTTGTGGATACCACATTTTTTCAATTGAGGAGAGCGAAGGCTGCAGATGAGAAATAGAACACGCCGTCAAATCTAAACAATGTTAGGTGAGTGGACACAAAGAAGATGTTTCGTGCCAGGTTAGGTTTCAATGGCTCAAGGTGTGCGTTCTATGCAAATATTGCAAACCAAACGGATTAACAATTAAAAATAAAAGGTGGCTGCCAACCATCACAATTGAGTGTTGAAGTTCAGGTCCGACTCGTTTGAAAAGAGATCACAGTGGCAGCTTGCGAAATTGGCGCTATATCGCATTAAAAAAACAGCATGAATTGATTATTGCTTTCGCTTTGTATGGAATGAATCCAAATGCGTCCGTCTTTGTTCCTGGTGGTTACGCCTTTGATACAGGAGTGTCCAAGTTCGTGCCTAAGTCGCGTAAGGCTTTGAACTTCATCCCAGATATTGTTGCTCCTGACTTAGGCAGTTTGTCAAAGAAGCAAGTGTGTGGAACCCAGAATTATTGCTTAAAATGTGATCCACACTGACAGTTGAAAAGGTGCAGTACGTACCATACTTGGTTTACCGGCGACAAATATCTTCTCCATGTGTTGGATGAAATGCAGGTTCGAGCACAGATTCCAAAAAAATGCGACCACATTTTCAACCAAGACCAATTGTCAGCTCCAGGTTTCGACATTGCCACAAGTGGCGTCTACTGAGGAGGAGCGTTCTTGGCAATTTGGGATTCACCAAATGCAAGCAATACTTTGGACTCTACTGAAAAGACCTATTCCCTAACAAATAAGTGAAATGGAAGCGTAGATTTTTTTGTGCATGTAGGAGCTTCAGCGTGTTTTGAACCACTTGGCTTCAGAGCATGTTTTGGCGATTGACTGTGAGGCTCTCAAGTTTTGTTGCGAGTTCCTGCTTGGTGTTTCGAACGGTATTAGACTTAGAATGTCATTCATTGACAGGGTGCCGACCTCTCCAAAGGCTGTTGGTTTCTCCAAGAATGCCAGCTCACGGCTTGGCAACGTCTCCCGACGTTTCACTTCGTTTCAAGACACTGCCCTAGGCCAAACAAGCTGCAACATGGCAGGCGGGCGTTCCTTGTTGGAAGAAGCCAGTGCTTTCTCAAGGAACGTCACTGCAAAAAGCAAATAAGTATAATAAGTATAATTATCTAATTGTGTGCTTGTGGAGGCTTTGCTTGCTTCAGCGTGCCTGACGACTTATGCATTTTCGTGGGTGAGTGTCAGCAGTTCACAAGCCAGCCGCTGTTAAACACGTTTTTTCCACCTGGCTCACAAACCCCTCATGTGTTTGTCCTCATTTTGCCAGGATTGGCACCATGCACGGCGAGGCCTTTGCTCTGGATATTCTAGAGTTGGGCGAACGTGCTTTTGAGCAGCCCGACACAATTGGAAAGGCATTCTATCGTGCCAGTTGTAACTGTGAAAATAATGCAAGCAATGCTAACCTTATGTACAAACACTACTAACATCACGTTCGGATGAATGACCTAAAGTCTGCCTTGGCTGAGGCTTGGGCTTCGTGCGCTCTTGGAAGGTGAGCGGCCAATCAAGGTGGTGCACGATTTCCGCGGCACACTAAGGTTCAGCTCACTACAACATTGCCCTTGATTGATTCAGCGGTTCTAAGGTCAGGACAACGATGCCCTTTTGCATCAGTTTGGTGTCCAAATGAGGCGCCGAACAGGAAGTGGTCAACTTTGCAAAACTCTGACTTCACGGAACTTTGGAGATAAAGTTGCTTTCTTGGCACCGTGCTATTAAATGTTTTCTTTGGCCCAACTGAGAACAAACCACGGCATTTATTCTGAAAACATTGTAAAGCCTTCCAGATATACATCCTTTCTACTTTCTATCCTTACATTTTGGTAGTTAGTCTCATTTACTTGTATGAGCCATGATCGGATATGCGGATGCTGCAAGTCTCCAAGCGAGTCCAAAGCCTGCAGACCCGGGCATTCCTCGGATGACACCTGCAGTATTGCGGAAGTCTTGCTTGGAAAACAGAGGCTATGAGCTTCCAGAATTGAACGAAGTCCTCATTCTCCACTACAAAGGCTTTCGCAAGATAGAGGGCTTGGATGACTACACTAATGTGCGGTCCATATTCCTTGAATGCAATGGAATTAGCAAGATTGAGAACTTGGAGGTGATGCCTCAACTGGTGTCCCTTTACTTGCAATCCAATTGTATTATGCGGATAGAGAACTTGGATTCGCTGACCAATCTGCAGTATCTCAATTTGTCGAAGAATAGCATATCTGAAGTGGAAAATTTAGCAGCCTTGAGCAAGCTGGAGACCCTCAATCTCGCCTCGAACAAACTTGAAGATGTGGAGAAATTAAAAGGCTTGACTGAAAGGCCTAGTCTGAAGAGTGTTGATGTGAGTTCCAACTACTTTGAAGATGGAGATGCTTTGTTGAGCTTCTGGCCAGAGCATCTACCGAATGTTCTATGTTTGTACATACATCACAATCCTTGCTCCAGAGGTTTGAAAGATGCTCGACGGCGTCTTGTCTCAACCTTACCCAAGCTTCGTTGGATTGATGAGCGTCCAGTCACCGCCATGGAACGTGCAGGCTGTGAGGCCTGGGCGATTGGTGGCAAGGATGCTGAAATGGAAGCGAAACACGCACATTGGCTTAAGGAAAAAGAGGAGAAGGACAGGAGCTTTCAGAATTACAGGCGCATTCAGCAGGAATATGTTGAACGGGCAAATGCTCTGAAAGAGGCGAACATGTGTCAAGATGAGGCTACAGCCGGAGTGAAAGCTGCTCAAGTTACCGAAGCTACTGAAGTTTCAGAAGCTACCGAAGCAACAGAAAGCAGCGAAGAGACAACCCCCGAAGGCTTCATTTTGATACCGGATACATTTGGTCGCGGAGATAAAGCTAAAAAGGTAGACAATGCATGCACTCCTGTCGATGACCTGAGTTCACCACCTGCAGAGTCCCACACACCAGAGGATTCAGCATCTCCAGCAGTTTGTGAGGAAACTGCCAACAGTGGATCCGATTCTCTGGAAGAACTTGAAGTTGGAGAAGAGCAAGAAGAATCTGTCAAGATTCCCACAGTCTTCGAATGGACCGGCTTCAAGGATAGGTGTCTAGGACGCCTCGTGGCTGAGTTCAGGTACAATTTCAAGAAGGCATCGGCAGCGCTCGGCAAGGAATTTGATTGTGACGTTAGCGAGCAAGAGTGCAGACGCAGGTATGGTGAGCTTTGCCGCCCTTCCCAAATAACTGGAAACCGACAAGAGGCAGCAAGGCAGAGTATGAAGGAGGGCAGTGGACGTGCTGCAGATGGTCCACCACCAGATGCTGCTGCTGTCAAAGAGGTGTCCCAGTGGTTTGTACGTCGCATTCGTCAGGGAAACGGGCAAGCAGTCCAAAAGAAGCAGACTCCGAAATGGGCCGCGAACAGGCAGGATCCAGACGAGCATGAAATCGACCCAGAGCAAGAACACCTTGCTCCTGCTCCTGTGCCTGTCTGCCAAGAGAGTATCCTCGGAGCTGGAAGATCTTTTCATGTTTTCGAACCACCACCCAGGCGGCAGGTGTTGGATGATATTCCAGAAAAGCCGCCTCAGGCAAAAGTGCCTGATGCTACCCAGGGCCTGTTCGACCTGGACTAGAATTCGAGCTCTGTTGAAATCTTGGAAGAGAGAAAAAGAGGGACAAAAGAGGCTTTGAGTTGCTTTGAGCAGCTGAAATGCTTCGAGCTGAAACTGGTGCACTTTGTTTGGTCACAGGGGGCTCTTTGACTGTCAGCTTTGCGATGTCATGCTTCGTCGACTTGGTGGTCACAGGACGTTTTCCAAGAAAACACCTGTTCCAAAGAAAGTCTTATGAAGGCTTCCGACCCGAGACCTCCAAGAAGCTTTCTGAAAGGCAGTCGTACTTGTTGGAAACTCCATACGGGGGGAGTAGGCTGCCAGGGGGAGGTAGCTAGTATTTCTTTGTTAAGAAGCTAGTAGGAAGCATGTTCGCTAGTAGCATGGATGCAGAGAAAACCCTCGCATGGTCGAAACGGTATACTTGACACAAAAGCTGAGCAGCGACTCTTTGAAGGACTGGCTATGTCACAGGAAGCGCAAAGCTGCTGTCCCAGATCAGCAGATGTGCAGGATCAACAATTACCAGTAATCCAGTATTAATATTTTTGAGGATTGTGTACATGATCATCCTGGAGCATTGATTTGTCGATCCTATCTTCATGGATTCAATCTGTCAGGGCAAATTGGGTTGAAAATGTCCATTCAATAGGAGGTGGTCTGTAACCGAGGGTTGATGCTGGATGCCTCTTTCTTGAAGAAACTGTGAAAGCAATGAAACCGCTCAGCACAATTTCCTGGGAGCACAATTCGTTTCGTGCTTTGATCATGGCAAGAGCTCCGACAGCCAAGGCTTTTGAGTTCCCGGGGCATTCTGCAAGGCTCTGTACAAGGTTACGGGATCTTGACACAGGACCGTCGATCACATGAGTGAAAGCAGCTCTTAGTAAGCTTCACTGAAGCAGAAAGGATGCCTATATAGAAGATTTTGACAGACTTTTCCTTTGAGTGGAATATCTATTGTGGCTTTTCCACTGTAGAACTTGATCATTCAGTGCAGCATGTGTTGCTTCTCAACTCGAAACTTGATGGCTGAAATCGTCATGTTGTTTTGAGGAGCAGAAGCAGGCCATCCATGATCGCTTTTCGCGGGACTGCCACTGTTCACATCCAAAGGCAACAACAAAACTGTCGGGTGGGAATGGCGGAGTCAGTCCGGCAAAGGCGATCGACCGGAGCTTGGCAGGATCGGCATCTTTGGGAGAGGCGCCCATTGCCACAAGACATGGTGGAGTATGCCTTGGAGGATGACGAAGTACGGCATGCATCCTCGAGATTCCGTTGCTGGTTGACACAATGATACTGAACATGTTGGGCAGACACTTCAACACTCAACGCCAACAGTTGGATAAGCTCAAACACATTGCTGATGAATGCAATGCATCAATTGTAGCATGGAGCCACATTCGCAGCTGGGTAAAGTATCAATTAATTATCCACTGTTTAGTCAACATCCAGTGCGATTCCAACTTTCAGGATGTCAAGCCCATGCTGCAGCTTCAGCGGCTTTTGCTTCAAGAGTTGGTGGAAGCGCTTGGAGAGCAGGAGGGCACGCCACTTGTAGGCATCTTTGCCTTCTTCATGCTGACCCAAAGAATCTAGGAACGTAGTGCGAGCACTTCTTCAGGGAAGCTCCTCCCCCTGAATTTAGGCGGAGGGAGCTTCCTTGAAGAAGCGTGAGCTACTGCGCCCATATGTAGAGGCTAACCGGCTAACCTAAATAGGAGGTCGGCAAACGAAAAACACCTATAAGCTTGCCGTCACACGTGACTCGCTGCGATTGCCAGGATGCTTGGCAGCTTGTGAAGGAAGGATCTATGGTGCGGTGCATGGCTCCGCCGACGCAAAATTCTCGATCACATTTTGGGACCGGTACGCACTGAAACCGACTTTTTCCCGAGTGCGTAGCGAAGGGTTCTCGTTTAACTCTGGGGGTCTGGGGCAACCGTCCGCATGTGATCGTTCGTGGTAGGGCGCTATGGCGCTGACATTGGGCGAAGCTCTTGGAGAGGGGTTTGGATGGCAGCATGACGTGTCAGATTCGTGTGAAATAGCGAAGAAGCGTGTGGAAGCGTAGCAGTAGGATTATTTTGCTGCGCAGGCGCAGCTTTTGTGAGATTCAAAGTTTTCTCCGCTGTAAGATTGGAGTTGGTGCCTAGAGGGTGGTATGGTTGAGGTGGTGGAGGTGTCTGTGACATTGGGATTTGCTTTTGAGGCTGTTGTGTGGAACCTGTGTTCTTGTGATATCATTCCATACGTGTGGTGTGGTGCAAAACTTGCGGAAAGACATGAACGTGACTGAACATGTCATATGGTCACTTGTCGTGGCAGGCGCAGTACTTTGTGTGCGTGTTGAGGGTGAAGTTTTGTGGCAGGCGCAGGGAATCGCGAGGTTGGCCACTTTTGGTGGAGATGAATGTCGGTGTGACTTTGGGATTGGTGTGTGGTGTGATTAGAGAGACTAGGCTGGGTAGGAAGTGTCGTGCAAAAAACGCTCGTTTTGGAGACTTGACGTGCGACTTTTTGAAGAAGTGTCGTGCAAAACGCTCGTTTTGGAGACTTTGACGCGTGACTTTTGGAGGAAGTCTCGTATGAGGAAGTCGGTATGAACACGCGTGCGGTTTGGAGACTTGAGGTGTGAATTGTGGAGGAAGTCTTGGACGCCGCAACATTCATTTTGGAGACTTTGTGTGTGACTTTTGGAGGAGCCCGGAGCCCCGTATGAAACGCTGGAGACTTGAAATGTGACTTTTGGAGGAAGTCTTGTACGAAACGCTCGTATTGAACTTTCTTATTCTAAAGTTGGTTGAAGTATGTGACGCAAATGCGTTTTGTCCGAAAGGACGTGTGTATAGAGTAAGCACTTGGCAATGTAGAGTTTCAGATGTATGTGGCTCAGAAGCTGTTTTTGCAAGACGGGAGAGCGGCCGATGCAAACACGGGTCAGGTGGGGTGCCCAGGTGGAGCCCCCCCGGGCCTGCCAGGGCCTATGGCACTTTCCGTTGAAGAAGCGCGCCGCAGTTGTGGATTTCTCTGTATTCTGCTGGCGGTTATCATTTTCAGGTCTTCATCTTGGAGACCTTAGGACCGTGCAAATGTTTATTTCGTGAGTCTTTGCGCAATGAAGGATGCTCTACATGTGGTGGTGGAGTCTGCCATGCAAGATGCCTCATGAAATGTAGCAAACTTTGCGCGGAGTCACCAATGCGACGACGCATCATGTCAGCAAAAGAAGGCTTTGGTGAGCCAATTCAAGTGAACGGCTACTCGTCGAACGTGTTTGCATTTGGGTTCATGGGCTCCATCTTGCTTTGTTTGTATCTGTGCTGGGCGGACTCTCCCCACTCAGCACCAATCCAAAATTCCAAACAGACCACTAATGGAGCCCTTTCTGCCAGACTTCGCACATTCTACACATTCTGTTTTGGAGCAGGCCTATGCAGCAGACTTTGCTTCACAGAGAGAATGCCGCTGCCGACTATGCTGCAATGCCGCTCTTGCCTCACTCCGTCTTGGGTATACGGACTGTGTATGCGTTCAGCCCAGTAACATACCATCGCGATGCAGCATATTCTTGCAACTGCAAGCCATACACGATGCCGTTGGTGTCTGAGGCCGAAAATGCACGATTTGATGGTTTCCGCTTCATGCAGCGCCTCCAGGCTTGCCAGAAAGAAGCGAACTTGACAGGTTGTAGGACAGGTCGCTAGAAGCTTTGGACGCTTGTGCGCATTCGGATTTTGTTTAACAGTGCGCCGCAGGCTTTGCCATCGCAGCGGCTTAACCCGCACATCTTGTCTGAAGCCCTGGGTTGGGGGCTGGTGCGGCTGGTGTCCTTTTTCCCCAGATAGCGAAGCTATAGGGGTTCTTACTTCCCAATGGATGGGTTCCTGACTGCGGAAATTGGCTGCCGCTGCCGCTGCCGCCTTGTTTCCCAAGCTTGTCTCCCGTCATGATTTCGCTCTTGGCTGCCGCTGCCGCCTTGTCTGTGAAGCTTGTCTCCCTTCATGATTTCGCTTTTGGCTGCCGCTGCTGCCTTGTCTGTGAAGCTTGTCTCCCTTCATGATTTCGCTCTTGGCTGCCTCTGCCGCCTTGTCTCCCAAGCTTGTCTCCGTTCATGATTTCGCTCTTGGCTGCCTCTGCCGGCTTGTCTTCCAAGCTTGTCTCCCTTCATGATTTCGCTCTTGGCTGCCGCTGCCGCCTTGTCTCCTAAGCTTGTCTCCCTTCATGATTTCGCTTTTGGCTGCCGCTGCCGCCTTGTCTCCCAAGCTTGTCTCCCTTCATGATTTCTCTTTTGGCTGCCGCTGCTGCCTTGTCTCCCAAGCTTGTCTCCCTTCCTGATTTCGCTCTTGCCTGCCGCTGCCAGCTTGTCTCCCAAGCTTGTCTCCCTTCATGATTTCGCTTTTGGCTGCCGCTGCCGCCTTGTCTGTGAAGCTTGTCTCCCTTCATGATTTCGCTTTTGGCTGCCGCTGCCGCCTTGTCTGTGAAGCTGGTCTTCCTTCATGATTTCGCTCTTGGCTGCCTCTGCCGCCTTGTCTCCCAAGCTTGTCTCCCTTCATGATTTTGCTCTTGGCTGCCTCTGCCGGCTTGTCTTCCAAGCTTTCATGCTCGCTCTTGGCTGCCGCTGCCGCCTTGTTTCCCAAGCTTGTCTCCCTTCATGATTTCGCTTTTGGCTGCCGCTGCCGCCTTGTCTGTGAAGCTTGTCTTCCTTCATGATTTCGCTCTTGGCTGCCGCTGCCGCCTGGTCTCCCAAGCTTGTCTCCCTTCATGATTTCGCTCTTGGCTGCCGCTGCCGCCGTGGTTCCCAAGCTTGTCTCTGTTCCTGATTTCGCTCTTGGCTGCCGTTGCCGCCTTGTCATTTTCTTGCCTGCCTTTGACGCGGATGCTGCTATAAGATGATTTAGGTCTTGTTTACCTTTCCATCCTTTTCCCGGCTTTGAGTGGGATGTCTCCCAAGCTTGTCTCCCGCTCTTGCCATGCTATCCTTTTCTTGAAGTGCTATCTGGGGTCTATGCCAGTATAGTTTTTTCAATCCCTGCAGCAGCGACAAGTAGTGCCACTAGAATGGCCGAAGCAGTATCACTAGCAGTACCCCATTTGGCGCAATTCATGTTACCACCTTCCGCCCCTATTCGGGCGAGTGCAACATTTGGTGATAGGGCCGTTTGGGATGTCAATGCGATGTGAAGTTTGGCCTTGAGATGTTGTTTGTGGTGTTTTGATCCGATGACCCTGAACAAAAAGTAAGCCGTGACAGCGGTCAATGGGGTCTCGCATCTCTGAAGTCTTCAACTTGCGATGTTCTCAGACGTTGAGATGTTGGAAGGGTTGAAGCAGTTGAAACAGTGATGATAATTGAGGCGGCGGATTTGGCGGCAGGAGGATGCGCAGCCCTTGCCACTGCCTGGTCCAAGTCGTGACTTGGTGCAAGTAGCTGGGGCTTTGCGGAGAGAAGTGAAGTTGTGGAGACTCACTATTACCACCTTCGTACCCAAAATTGCTGATGCGAAGCGCAAACAATCTAATTTCTCTTGCTCCCGTCTCCTTTCCTCAAGTCCCGCCCATGTGGAAAAGGCCTCAGCTAGCACCAAAGTGCCAAAAAACCGTCAGGTTATGGTTCAGTTCTCCAAACGGCTGTCTTCAAAGTATCCAGACAGCTTCAGAGGCAGAATAGCAGCTCAATTTGGCAATCAAACTTGATTTGTTGTCGTCAACTTCTACTTCCTCTGCTGTGCTTTACTTGCGGTAAGAGTAAGAGTTGCTCTGAATGTTACTGTAGGGCTGACAGCCTATTTCTCTACTTCAATCTATTAAATCCGTTTTGCTGTCTTCCTTCGCACGGAATGTGCCAACCTGCCCCACAACAACGGCAAAAGCCTGCCCTACCAACCCTGCCTCACGCCTGGCTGCAGTGGATCACTACAACGCTGAAGCTGCCTGGAAAGAACTTCTCATGCTACCCCAGCATGTGCTATGCTCTCTGCCCCGTGGCGCAAGCACCAGCGAGCCAAAGCGGCCTATCTTGATCGGGCTCAGCGATGGGAGCAAGGGGAGCGGTTAGCCCAGGAGTAGTGGAGGCCTTGGCGCCTTTCTACTTGATCGATGCGGTCTTGGCCGAGGATGTGGCTGTGAGTTCCGGGATGCGGCACGTCCAGGCTCGCACCTGCGCAAATGTGAAGCGGTTGCAGTGGTGACACCCGCCCTCCTACTCTCCTGGGCCTTCTGACGTAGGAGCTCCTTAGCACAGCCACTGGCGAGTGCAGGCTCCATCAGGGGGATGCATCCTGCATTTGCCGAGCGTGGGCTCAAAAGCGGGAGCTTTGCTGGACGCACTTGGGGCCTTGGCTGACCCACAAGTTGGGCTCCGGCTCTTGCGCACCTGCGTGTCCTTAGGAACAGCTTCATGTCAACCGCCACCTTGGCCGGGGTGGATATCTCATTTCAGTCACTGGCAGCTTCAGTGAATGGTGTCCCCTGTGGATTTATTGATGAAGTCTCAGCAGCATGGCTTCGTGTTGGCAGGCCAGGGGCGCAAGGAAAGTGTAAAGGAACCAACTGCTTGTTAATAGCAGTATACGCGCACACGCGCACGAACTCTGCCTTTCAATGATGCGAGTACTTAAAGCGCGTGGTGATGTGAGAGGGAAACGCACCTGGGACGGGACAAGTCGGCTTGAAATTGGATTTGCAGCCCGTCCCAGGTTTCTATGTGAACGAAGCAGATGAGTGCTCCTGACAGTTTGGACGTGCTTGAGCTTTGATGGGGGTCATGAGCTGAAAACTGTCATCCATTGTTTGGGAGACAGGAGAATCCATTATTTTCCTTGAATATATCTCTAATGAGTCTGCATAGAGTCAGCTAAAAGGATCACCTTGCACATGGTTGTTGTACATTTTCCAACCTACACCTCAGTGGCGCATGTTGTTTGCAGGTCAGTCCCTTTGCCTGTCAGCTGAGTAGATAGTTTGCATCCCACCTCATTTCAGCTGTGTGCTGCAGTGCCTGGTGGTGCTCCGTCCCAAAAGAGATGCAGAGTAATGCGGATGTGGAAGCGATGTCATTTAGCTCTTGCTCCCAGCTTGAAGACAAATAGATGAACAGACTGCAGACTAGACCAAGATGGCCGAAATAGGGCTTCGCATGGTCAGGATTTGCCTTGCGCTCGTGACAAAAAGCGGTTGGATTGACGATTGCCAGACAATTGCACAAGTTCAAAGTCTTCAAAATGACATGTGCACCTCAAAAGTGTCCAGTTCTATTGCTGGAGCAAGTGCGGCCGTTTTCGCACTGTCAAGTAAGAGCTGAAGCAACTGCTCAACCAATTCAACTTGGAGCAGGAACACGAGGAGGCTTGCTATCAACCAAAGACAGGATACTAGTGTTCTTGCGACTGCTTTTGGAGCTTGAGATACTGGAGACATGCATCGTCAACAACTTCCACGGCCACTGATGTCTTTTTAGTAGGTGAAATTGTTTTCCTTGTGCAATGGACACTGTTCAGTCACTGTTGCGGCCTCAAACCGTCTTACGTACTGAGTCTTACTCTACAGTATGTGCTGTTTGGTTGACTGCACTTGATATGGAGAGCACGTACCTGCGACTTGTGCCACTGAGACTCCAATGATTTACATGATGTTGAAAGCTCGTTCGGCTCAGGAGGGAGGGCGTGCTGCAGGTGGTATCAGCAAGTTCTGCTTTGCAATGAGAGTCTCAATGCTGGGTGTGCTTTCCCCAGGTTGAATTCGTTGACTCAATTTCTCGCTTCCAGGTGGAGAAGTTTGCGAACTTGGAGGATGTGAGGCGTGGTCCGGGGTTGGGTGATATTAGATTGAGAGGGTTGGGCATCCCACACAGGCCGTGAACTGAGGGTTGTTATGATTCTTACTTATACTTGTTTTTTTTTCTCTTGGCCGTGCAGTTCGGGCTTCGTGTGTTTGCACTGGGCCTTTGCCCTCCCTCTCATCCCTTCAACACGACAGATATACCGGGCTTTCTGCGTCCTTGGAATCTAACGGGAAACTGATCGAGAAGATGAATATACTGTAGATCCACTGGAGTCTGGACATGATGGAACAAAGCAGGGTTGCCTGCGCATTGGCTAACACCTCATGCATGTTAGTATTGCAGGTCTCGCGCTGATCGACATGGCTCCAAGCTAAATGGTTGTGGTCTGAGTGACTGTGAGCTCACGAAAGCATGGAACATCAGTACTGAGTAAGTGAGTAACCTCTCCGAATGACATTTGTAAGCAGTGAGTGAGCAGTGAGGAGTGAAGGAAAGCATGATGAGTTTGGTGCACTCCGTGCAATCCGAGATTAAAGAGAGAGTGGATGCGCGGTTCCACAGTCTGGCAAGAATTGTGAGCACATTAAGGCATTTTCACCGCACACTGTGCGGTTTAAGGGTTTGTTCGGGAGCAACCTGCAGCCAGGCGAATAAGGCACTCAACGCAATGTTTGAGTCACAGGTTCAGGCCATTCAGGTGCAGCTCTATTTGTGTTGTTTTCGTCTAGCTGTGTGACATGCATGTGCACCAAGAAGCTTTTCAATGTCCAAATTCTTCCCAGTCCACTGTTCCTAGCTGGCCAGGATCGGCTCGAATTTGTCTTCATGAAAAAGCTTGACCGCTTAGATCATAGTTGGGCTTCCCAGGATAGCAGGTAGGTTCAAGCTTTTACTCTTACTCGCAACCAACTAACTGTGATTTGCAAATGTGTTCAATAATAAAAGAAGACAGGCAAATAAGAAGGTAAGGGTTTCTTTAATAAGGCCTCTTTAAACAGGGCCGTATGAAAGGGCCCTGTGTCACGCCTTCCAAGTCCTTCTGTCCCAGGTGTTGCAGCGATCAGCCAAAGAATGTCGGTCGTTGAGCGTGACTTTGCCCTCACTCGAGAGAAGCACATGCAGGCGGTGCGACGGAGCCCCTAGTAGCTTCTTGCTCCTAGTAACATTGATCTTTCCGTTTTGAAGGACATGCTGAGACGAAACCAGCACTTGGCACAGGACCGACATTGGCTACTACACATGCAGACGTGGGTTTAATTGGAAAAAATGCATCCTTTCAAGGCTTAACCCTGTGTCTTAAGGAACATAGATACTGTAAAGTGCAAGGCTTTCTTTCCTCATCCAAGGACGCTGAGAAGTTCATGTCAGCCCTAAGAAGCGAGAGAGCTGAGCTTGAGCTGCAATTATGACTCAATAAGACAAAAAACGTCTCCAAAGAATGGATACAGGAAAGAACGACTTTGGCGAGCTGAGCTGCCAATCTGCATTTCCGTTGCAAAAGAGCGGCTTTTAGGCGATTGCTGGAGTTGATCGTGTGAATGGAATGAGTAAAGGGTGTTTGGGGGTAGAGGAGTTTGAGGGCAACTGTGGAATCTGTTGGTGAATTCGGTGGCACCGGAAACAGGACCTCAGTTGGGCGCGGCTAAATGATGTGGGTGATGCAATTGCAGTATCCTTAGAGCCTTAAAGTGATGCAGGCGGTGCAGTATCAGTAATACTGCATCATGAAGGAAAGGCAAGAATAGCAGGCATTGTTCAACCAGAATGGAATTATGTTGGGCTGGAAAGGCGGGAGTGAACCCCGGCCCCCAGCAAGACGAGCAGAGAAGAGAAGAGAAGAAAGCGTGAGAAGGTGGAAACTGGTGAGTCGGTCCAGGACGCCCCCGAGAAAGTAGTAGAGTGTGGGACAAGAGAAGAGATGCCATGAGAAGAGGAGAAAAAGGATTTGACTAGACCATCCAAGTGGCATTGTCGTTGTTCATAGGTCTAGGACGTGGATGGAGACGACCAAGCGCGAGTCAAGCCCATACAGCAGGTGCACGTTGACTTGGAAGCGAGGGGAGCAGAGACGACCAAGCGCGACGCCTTTTCTATCATCGTACTGCCCTTGTGATGGAGACCTGGGCCAGATGGGTGTGCAAGGCCCGGTGGCTGTTGCCCTGGCGATGTTGCTTGGCACGTTGGATGAGTTGTTGTGCAACATCGCCCTCATCCAACTCAAAGGCTCAGGTCACTGGCGACACTTTGCCAGGTGGGATTGGTCGCAAGGTCATTTCGCAGGGCAAGGCACAAATACGATGGAAACTCCTTCTTCCAGCTGACCAGATGAGACAAGCAGAGGGGCTTGAACATCCCGCAGAGGGTCAGAGGGTCTTGAACATCCCTCACTTAATGTTAGATGAGGTTCCAGATTGGGCATTTAAAGGGAAGTAGCTGAACTCTTTGTTTTCCCATCCAGCAGGGCTTTGCAGGCGCGGCAGCTTCTGATGTCATTAGAGGGGGGGTCGCTTGACACCCCCAACTAGAACAGCTGCAGAGGAGGTTTCTATACAGTGATAGCGCAGTGTCGTAAAGATTTTCACCCCCAGGCCTGCCTCACAAAGCGTTCGGCGTTTGCTTTTGTTCCTTCCCTTCTCAGGTGTATCGATCTCACGTCCTTTTCTTGTAGTCTTGGCACTTTGCTGCGTAAGGATCGGCAGCATCGCGCAGATGGTTTTGCACGACAGCTTTCGGACTACGAGGCTGGCAGTTTTAAACATGAGGAGTGTTCAGCAGGGGCGGTTGAGACAAGCAGTTCTTCGAAGCCTCGAAGGTGGCTATGAATGGTGGCTACCAAAGTTGTTGCACGATTCCGTGATGGTTTGGTTGGAACTTGATTACAGTCGGATCTCTTAAGCAGTATACTGTAACTGCTAGCACTTAGTTACATCGAGTCGTAGATGTTGCATTCGAGTCTTGGACTATCATGGGTTATTTTGACAATTTTCTACAGCTCACTTCGAGCTTGCCCAGGGTTGTGGATGCATGCAAGTCCATAGTCCCAAAGTGCAGGCCAAAACCCGCACATTGATATCATCTCAAATGCAGATGAGAGAGCAACAGCTTTGCCCTCAGAGCTGGGAGTTGGACAGGCATTTTTCCTGTTCTGCATGCTGTGTGTTTCAAAGAACCTAGTCCAAGAACAACTATGCTGTAGGATTTGTTCTGAAAGGCTGACTTAAGGCGCAAGTAGGCTTGTTGAGCCTAGTTTCTGTTGCACAGCATCTGGTTCAAAGAAAACAGGGCCTTTTGCTATGGACAATGGACAAAGTTTCCAACTTCGAGATGGTATCTGACGAGGACTCGGAGGAAAAGAGCCTCGAAGAGGACCTGCCCTTTCTCTACATTGATTGTCAAGGAGGATTTGCAAATGTTGAGGACTCCGTGACTTTCTTGTCAACGATTGAGCAAGCAGAAGAAGGTCTCACAGACACCCTGCGACAGTCTCGACTTCAAAGAGCTATTGCCCCCGGACAAGTGCTGACACAGGCTGACATCCAAAGGTTGTATCAGGAACAAGGTCTTGGACATTTAGCGGCCCCCGTGATTTGTGTGTTGAAGTTGGGCATTGCTATGATGAGCTTTGGCCAAAGTGCAGCAGATACTGAAGATGTGGTACTTCAAATCTGTGCAGCTATGAGACTCCCAGTGGTTCATTTTGAGATTGGTATGCGAAGCTTTCAAGCGTCTTTCGCCGGCATTGTTCACACTGTGCCTTTTGCAAGGGGCATCGATGCGGACAAGCTCGCTTCGACCATCTCTTTGGCAAACCTGATGCTGAATCAGGTGGGCAGCGTTCAAGGTGCATCAGATCTTTTGGATGATATTTTTGGGCACAGGCCGTCCTATAGCCCCTTTGTTCAATACTTTGCTTTTTGCAGCATGAGCATCCTAGCATCCATTGCGGCATTCATGGGCACCTTCCGTGATGCAGCAGTTGTGGCCATCCTGGTTCCATTTGTTGTTTTGGTGCAGGTTCTTTGCCGACGTTTCAGCTACCAACTCGGAGACTTGGAAGCCTTCCTTGTAGCGCTGACGGTTGGTGCTCTCACTCCATTCGCCTTGCAGTTTCTCGAAGCTCCCATTTGTGAAGTTCCCACGATATATTTATCGCCGCTGCTTGTATATTTGCCTGGATCGCAACTGATTTATGGAGCCTATGAGATCCAATTTGGCTCTTTGGTCAACGGGATAAGTCAACTTGGCTCCTGTGTCGTCCGCTGCATGTTCCTTGCAATGGCTCTGCTGATTGGATGGCAGTTTTTTGGCCATGGTTTCTACAAGGGAGAAACATCATCAGCTGCTGCTGCATCTTTGGTTCCAGTAGACATGTCTTGCATGTTTCCCTATGGTTGGCATGCCATATTCTTTGGTTGGAACATTCCGCTACTCCTTTTCGTTTTTGTTGGCTTGAACATGCCACTTTGCAAAATGCTGGCCCCAGCACTCATTGGATATGTGTCCCTACTTCTCTACATTGTTTTGCTGCAACATCCGGCAGTCAGAGGTTTCTTTCCAGTGCGCATAATTGACTCTATTGCCCTCTTTGTGGCAGCAAACTTGGCATATCTTCATGAATATTACACTTCATCACCTGCTATCTTGGCGATCCTTCCAATTCTTCTGATTTTGGCCCCAGGTTCACATGTGCTCCTGTCAATTCTGTCTTCAGTTCAACGTAGTGCCAAGATACTTGTCATGGTGGAGCCGGTCTTGGACCTTTTGCTTCAGGGAGTTGCATACGCTGTGGGTCTAACTTTAGCAATGCGCCTTTGGAAGCCTTTCCTACAGCGAAAGTTGGCTCGGCGGCTGGCCAGGACCATGCACTTGTACTGAAGAATGGGTACAAGAACACCGGCACATGGATGTCTGGAGCACATGGAAAAGAGGGAAGGCGGTATTTCATTTGAGCACTTGCAGTGTTAGAGCAGCCTAGCACATTGGTCTGAAGTTTGACACTCACTTTTTTGTTTTTCAGCACTGAGGTACCAGAGTTTGCGAGAACAGCTTGATGAGGTCAAGCGAAAAAGTGATACAGGCACGGAGAAGGGCCTGCCAAAGATTGTGCCGAGAAAGCCCGGATTTTCTTCTGAACTGTACCCACATCCAGTCCATTCATTGCTTGGAATCAACAAGGAAGAAGCAATTCAAAACAGTTTGATTTGGCTTTCCAGTGTATGTCAACAGGAGATGATGAACTACAGAGGGATCTGGAGGAGAAGGCCATATGGATAGTCTGACATCAAGCATTGCTTGGATGCTGGAAGCTGGGAGGTGGCTGACATCAAAGCCATGTTGGCAGTAGAGCAAAAGGCTCGAACGCAGGCAAGGCTGTTTTCTCTTTACGCTCCGGCTACATCCTACTACCACACTTCTGTACAGTCAAACATTTGAGAGGATTTTGGTTGTGTGGCGTGTTCGTGCTGTCTTCCAAGGCCGATGACGACATCATGCAGGCTCTGAAACACTACACCACGTGCATTCAGGCTAGGAATGAGCTTGGAAGCAAGCTGGTGCTGAGTTATGAATCCCTTTTGTGGAATCTCCTTTCCCGAAATGAATCACTATGCAGCGACTCTTGCACGTGCATTGAAGGAAAAACGATCCTAATCAGAATCAGTTTACAGTCTAAGGGTGCTGGAACTTGATCCTGTAAATGACAAGTGCTTTCTGCTGTCAGGAGGCTCTTCGGACCATCAACCAAAACTGACCGTGAGAAAGCCACATTCAACGACTCATCCGCGCGCTACACCGTGACAGACCATCCAAGTCAATGTACTTGCTTTACTTTTGCCAAAGGCGAACATGTGAATGTGAGGATGAAGGTTCTGCTGAAACTGAGCGGATACCACATCTGGTGATTTTGTCGACCACTCACAATCTCACAATTCTAGTTTGATTGGCAAACCTTCTGAGAAAGCTTTGCAAAAGCGTGGAGGCAATTGGACGGCCTGTCGTGATGTTGAAGCTGGTTTGCTGAAAATGTCCAGCAAGGGTTGTATTTGCATACTTCAAGTGTGCTCGAATGCACTTCATCCTAGGGTCCTAGAGTGCATATGTGAGCCTCACAATCAACCGCACGGCCATTTTTCTGGTCCCAGGATTTGTCTTTCTTCGATGCAAATCAGCAGATAATCTCTGGCTGTTGAACACAGGTCAGACCTTAAGCCAAGGGTGTCAAGAAAGACAGTCCCTCAAAACATTATCCGCTTTCAAAGAGCGAAGCTCGAAGCTACTGAACATATGAAAGCATCACTTTCAGGTTCCAGAAGGATTCAGTTTCGACGAAATTCTACCAAGCAAACCTACTTTTAGCAGGAGCTTCTTCGACCCGTGCAGAGCGGTTTGCAAATTACTTCGCTCATGTGACAAGAAGCCTGCACAACTGGCAGAGATGGTTACCATTGCTAACTACAAGGCCAGTGACTGCCGCTTTTGAAAGAGATGAGATGTCACAAGAAAACTGCTGTCACAAGAAAACTGCTTTGACCGTGTCGATTTTCGAGATGAACGAACAAGCCTGATTGATGAATCAAGAAAGGCCAGGTTTTGAGGTCCAGTGTTTCTGTGGCGATGCATGAGTATCACACGATCACACGATGTTACACGACCACACCTTTTGGTCATTCGGAGTTGATCGTTTGTAAGTTCAAATAGCTGTTTGTTTGTATGTATGTATGTATGTTTGTTTGTTTGTTTCGACGCAGATCTCCAACACCTTGGGTGTGGGCACCTTTGGCAAGGCAGCTCGAGAATTGAACACGATTGACCACTCCTCCATTGTCTTGTCAACTCCTTTAGCAACATGAGACCTGTTTTTGTTTTGAACGCACACTCATCGGCCGAATCCTCTTTACACTGAGCTCGAACGCATCGCTGTCTGCGTTTGGAGTCGTTGGCAGAGCACAGGTGAAGATGGCTGAGCACACGTTGACTGGCCAGAAGGTGTCACTGGGTGTCTTGATCTGGCAAATCTATCAGCCTTTACAGTATATGCATTTTTGTGCAGGTGGCGATCAAAATCATTAACAAGAGAAAGATGGAGCACATGAACATGCACGAGAAGATCAGGAGAGAGATCCAGATCTTGCAGTGGGATGCTCAGGTTGTTCTTGAGGATGGACGTTATTTTTTTTTATTTTGAAGCAAAACTTGTGACTAGCAAAGCAGGCAGAAGATAAGGTGGGTTGGCCCAGTAGGTGGAATGCAAATGAAGCCAAAAAAAAGGCAGAAGCGATAGGAGGTTTTGCACCAGCGTAGTAATTGAAGTATGGTATCAAGCGAAAGACCAGACTGTCATTGCCGGACCCCCGAATCCAATAGAGACCTCTTTTGGTTTGGTTGGGGATCCTGCTGGGGCTCGAAATGAATCAGCTTGTCCTTGCAGACACAGAAGAAAGCCATTTGTCCACTTCATTTGTTGCAGGTTGCAGAAACCTGTCCATGCCAAGGTTTCTCAAGCATCCCCATGTGATCCGCTTGTACGAGTTGCTTGACACGCCCAGCGACATCTTCATGGCACTAAACCAAGAGACCAAGACAAAATGCCTTGGCAATATCCATAGATTCCTTCATGTCTTAGGTGCATTTAACTTGTTAAAATACAATCCATATGGCCAATCTTGTTGCTTCCGTGCTCATTCCCTTCTCTACCTATTTTGCGTTCTCAGACTAAGCCGCTGAAGCTGCTAGGTGATGGAATATGTCCAGGGTGGTGAGCTTTTCGATCACATCGTTCACAAGCTGAAGCTGCAGGAAGATGAAGCCTTTTCCTCAGAATATTTGGCTATAATGTACTAATTATAAATACCACTATAATATATTATATATATACACAATAAATTAAAATAAAATATCATATATATAATATATAAGAACAACTGCAGATTCCCTCTTGTCTAGACTCGTTGGCCTTCACTTGAAGTCTTTCCTGCTCAACATCCCCTTTAGACTGCAAGCATCTGATGTTTGTACGGTCCGTCAACGACGTGCCGATGACATGCCCGAAGGCGAGAAGGTTCTTCCAGCAGATCCTATCAGGAGTTGAGTACTGCCACCAATGCATGGTGCGGCTGCCTGGGAGAGAAATCGAAAAAAAGAAAACCTGCAGCAGCCAGATTTGGGAGAAATAGTAGCAAACTCTCAACGGCAAATTTGGGAGAGCCAATGACTTGTGAGACAATTGAATGATTTTTTTACCGTCGAACGAGTCGATGCTCAAGGTGACGCACAGAGATCTCAAACCTGAGAATCTTCTCTTGGATTCAAACTTGCCTGCGGCCCAATGAGCGTTGATTGGGTCTTGCAGCATCACTTGGATTTTGAATCAACGACAGGAGGACCTAGCAGATCCGAGGCACGTGAAGATTGCAGACTTTGGTCTGTCCAACACGATGTCCGGAGCTAAAACACAAGGAAACAGGTGAAGTGTTCTTGCTGTGTTCAGTCGCTTCGTTTGATTCCCCAAGGCGTGATGGCGAATTTTTGAAGACCTCTTGTGGTTCACCAAACTATGCCTCTCCGGAGGTGGTGACTGGAAAGGCCGATCGACACAGGGTCGTGCAAAAAGCAGGATGGAACATCCGATTTCATGCGGGTCCGTGTCTATGCCGTACCTCTCCAGGCCTATGTGGGACCAGAGGTTGACGTTTGGTCTTTCCTCCTGTTTACTCACCTCTAGCCGAGATCCTGTCGAATGACTCTTCCTAATTGACTACAACTAGGGTAACGCCACAGTTGGATTGCTGTTCTTGTATGGGTATGGTGGCCTACCGATTCCAGAACTCTGCCATGGCTGTAGATTTTTATGGGTCAGTGTCGCCGTTTCGATGGCCAGGTCAGGCGGTGTGGTCCTGTACGCCCTCCTTTGCGGGTCGCTGCCCTTCGATGATGAGAACGTGCCTGCCTTACGCAGAACTTATGGGCTTCCTGCATGGGTGACCTTCACTCAATGGCAGAGAGGTCTACATAATATAATCATTGAAAGGGCATGTCGTAGCATGTCGTGGGCATGTCAGATATCCTGAATCAGTGGCTATTCTTCTATGAACAAGACCGTTCGCTAGTAGCTTCCCGCCTTCCAAGGTGCCGAACCTCTTCCGTAAGATCAAGCACGGGAACTTCACCCTGCCAGGCTTGATATAGCAAGCTTCACCCAAAACTTTGAGCCAGAGTACGTTTGCAAGTGTTCTTTTGACAGTTCTTTTGACACAGCTTGCATGTCTTTGAGTGCTACACCACTACGGCGGGTTTTGGACTTGCTACTTGAGTAGGTACTAGGAACGAGAACCTCAAGAATGTGCTATGAATATATATATATATATATATGTATGTATATGAAATATATATATATACATATACATACATATATATATATATATGTCAAGAACGTGCTATGTATTATACGAGTGAACATCGATGACTGAGTCTTGGCCTGTTTCAAGTTGCAAGGCCACCTCTCCAGCGAGGCAAAGGACCTCATTGTCCAAATGTTGGTGGTCGATCCGACCAGGCTGGTCGAAGACCGACGCACGAAGACGTCGATTCGGGCACACGCGGGTCGCTCGAATCGACGTGTTGCGCTAGGCGAATTACCTTCTCACAAATCCGGAGGCACAGCTGGTTTCTGAAGGTGCCACCCTGAAATCTGCTGATTTCTTTGCCTAAGAATTCTTCAACGCCAGCTAGAACTTTCGGACCAGGCTGTTTGGAATTGGGATTTCAACCACAAGCTTGTCAACATGATTGCCATTTCACCACTATTATATACTTTATAGACATAACCAAACTGCTGTCCCAGCATTGTCCTTGTGGACAACCAAGAGTTTCAATCCATTACTGCTTTTCTTGGACCATGCGCTCCGCTCCTTCATTCGATTTAAGGATTTGCCTGAGTACCTGGCCGTGCCTTTGAACCTTGTGGCTGAGAAGTTGGCCAGCCTCCAAGAGTGGCCTCAATATTTGCAGTGCTTGTCTGTCATATCTGTCAGAGCCTTTACAAGCTTTGCTCCTTTGCTCTTCCTTGGTATTGACTGGACCATGATTGTTCAAACATATTACATACTTGCTGAGTGTATTGCCGCAGCCTGAAGTAGACTGTCAGGAGGTAGAGATGCACGCCTCAAGTGACAATGAAGTTGCCTTTGCTTGCATCTGGAAGCTCAGGAGTACCAGAGTGATATCCTCGAGGTACGGAGTTCCACGAGTTCCGTATGAAGTTCCAGGAGTTCCTCGGTTTGTTGGCTCCAGGAGCTGGAGGATATGGGCATGAAGATAGAGGACAAAGAGAATCTAAAACCTGAAGAGAAGGTTGGACAACTTGCGCTGGGAAAGGGCTGTTGTGCTCACTGGTCTGGTGGTTCCAAGAGTACCACATACAAGCGAATGGCTTGAATCAAGTCGGCCACTGCTGAAAAAGATAAACACAGTGTCAAATTAGGGGCTCAATGGAGACACGGGCATGGACAGCATTGTGATACATTGTGCATGTTGCTTGAAGCATTTTATTTTTTAAAGTAACAATGTTTGATGGCCATTGGCATGCAGGTTGCTTACCACTTGTTGGCAGATCGTGCCTCCAAGCAGAGCAGCTTCTCAAATTTGATGCGGAAGGAGAGTCAGAGTGCAGTGTCTTTGCGGAAGTGAGCTAGGACAGCTAGGACCTAGGATGTAGAAGATGCTGGATAAGGCAGACCTTCCTTGTGTGAATATGTGAACGTTGGATCCTGGACTTGTTGACGGAAAGCGCTGTAGCGCTTGGAAGTATTACCGAAAGGGAAGGGGGGGGGTGGGGGGGGCCAAGCTGATGACGGGAAGCGATGAGTATCTCTTTGCAGGGTCGAACGGGCAAAAAACACTGTAATTTACAGTAAAAAGTTGCTTTGGGTGGGTTTGTGTTGAGCTTATTTACCTTCAAAAAGTTGCATTTTACCTGCACGAGAGGCAATTTTTGAGGTTTATCTTGTTATCTCGCATTCGAAGGCTTTGAAATGCAATGTGCATAAAACATTGGAAAACACAGCAAAAAATAAGACTTTTTTGGATCATTAATGCACTGTTTTTTGACAATTTTTTGACAAACTGGGCCCCGACTTTCCACAAGGTCATCGGATACAAAAATGACAGAGAAAATGCTAAAAAAGTCGGGGGCGTTCCACAGCACCACTTGCATCACTACGAGGTGCATGGGAGGCGCAAAGATAACAGAAGAGACGGAAACAAAGCAAATCAACTTAAGATGATATTTTTTTGTCACCAAGGCCCACAAGAAGACAGAAAGAGCACAGAAGAGACAAAAACAAAGCAAATCAACTTAAGATGAGAGTTTTTGACACCAAGGCCCACGAGAAGACAGAAAGAGCACAGAAGAGACAGAAACAAAGCAAATCAACTTAAGATGAGAGTTTTCTGACACCACGGCCCACAAGAATGACACCGAGGCCCACTAGAAGACAGAAAGAGCACAGAAGAGACAGAAACAAAGCAAATCAACTTAAGATGAGAGGCTTCTTGACACCAAGGCCCACAAGAAGACATACAGGGCACAGAAGAGACAGAAACAAAGCAAAGCTACTTAAGATGAGAGTTTTTGACACCAAGGCCCACAAGAAGACAGAAAGAGCACAGAAGAGACAGAAACAAAGCAAATCAACTTAAGATGAGAGTTTTTGACACCAAGGCCCACAAGAAGACGGAAAGAGCACAGAAGAGACAGAAACAAAGCTAATCAACTTAAGATTTTTGACACCGAGGCCCACTAGAAGACAGAAAGAGCACAGAAGAGACAGAAACAAAGCAAATCAACTTAAGGTGAGAGGTTTCTTGACACCAAGGCCCACAAGAAGACATACAGGGCACAGAAGAGACAGAAACAAAGCAAAGCTACTTAAGATGAGAGTTTTTGACACCAAGGCCCACAAGAAGACAGAAAGAGCACAGAAGAGACAGAAACAAAGGCTAATCAACTTAAGATGAGAGTTTTCTGACACCAAGGCCCACAAGAAGACAGAAAGAGCACAGAAGAGACAGACACAAAGCAAATCAACTTAAGATGCGAGTTTTTAACACCAAGGCCCACAAGAAGACAGAAAGAGCACAGAAGAGACAGA